AAGTGAAGATGAGGTCATACTGGATCGGAATGAAGAACTCTAACTCTACTGGCTAGTCCTTATCAGGACAGGAGGACACAGAAAGACACTCGCATAGAAAAGGCGAGGGGAAGATAGAGGCAGAGACATGCTGCTGTCACTGACCAAACGGCACCAAGGATGGCTGACAGACACCACGTGCTAGCAAGAGGCAGGGGACGATCGTTCAGAAGGAGCATGACCCTGTCAACATCTTGATTTTGGACTTTACCCTGTCAACATCTTGATTTTGGACTTCTAGTCTCCAGAACTGTGAGCGAGCACATTTTATTTGTTTTGTGTTTTGTGTTGTTTGGGCTACCAGTGCTGTGGTCATTTGTACAGACACCCTAAGAGCTAACCCCACCTCTTGCCCGGCCCATGCTCTTCCTCTCCTAAAGCCTCCACACCTGGACACACTCAATTCAGTAGCGAAGTCCAGGACTGTATTGCTGCTCTCTAGCCACTGCCTCGCGGCCGTCTGGTCTTCTCATCCAGGCTGGTTTCCTGCATCCCAGCAGACCACTGTTGAAAAGCACAATGTGCCAGGCCCCGGAGATGCCACAAGGAGCAGCTTACCCAGGCGGCTTGTGGCCTGTGAGAGCCAGTCAATAATGAAAAGATATAATTAAACACTGTCAAGGGAGACTTGAAATAAAAGTTTGAGGTGCTGGTGGAGTGTTATAAATAGAGCAACCAAAGCACGTTCTGATAGAAACCAGGACACTGTTGAGGTGTTAAAATGCTACCTCAGGCAAATAGGGAACCCAGGACTGTCCCAGGCAAACTGACATGTAACAACAAGAGACACATTTCTACAAGCTTCTTCCCAAATAGGCCACGAGAAGCAAGCTGGTCTGACAGAGAGAGGCAAGCTCCCATCAGCTTGCCTGCCCGCCTACTTCCCCTTCTGGAAAGGTCTAAAGAAGAATACAAACTATATAATTGCAGATACAGACACTTCCTCTTTTCCCCCTCACACCTGAAAAAGGTCCATTCTAAATGTCCCTGGCCTTTGCCTACGGGGCAGTCCAAGTGAGCCATGCTGGCTTGCTGTGCTCTGTCCCCAGCAGGCAGGGGTGTGACCCAGGAGACTGCTAACCCAGTTCTCTATCTTCTCTGGCTCCACTCACCCCCAGCTCTATGCATCAATACAGCCAAATAATTAAATTCCTGCATTTTGGCACCAACCAGGCCTGGGTTTACAACCAAGCTCCCGTTGCCTGCATACTGTATAACAGTTCACCTGCCTCTTTGACCTTCTGGTTCTACAGCCTCTACCTTGCATGGAAGTTATAAGCAGCCTATACAAAAAGGAGCTAGGGGGTATGCCAGGCCCAAAGCAGCAGGCAATACACCTGAGAGGTGATACAACCAAAAGTTGAGGCTCCATCGTCAAAGGTAGTCTAGAGCCGCCAGGTGTCCTTGGCTACAATTCTACATCCTGCCCATCTGAGCCATCCAGGCCAGGCTGGCACTCAGCTCACAGCAATTCTCTGGACCACCAGCGGCCTTTCATCTGCTGGTGAGCAGCTCCTCGGTCCAGTCTAGCTCACGGATCAGAGGGACACTACCGTGTGTGTCCTCCTGCATCAAATGCTCCACAACTTCACTCAAGTCACACTTTAACCTTCAGAGCAAAATATAGGAAGTTCTCTCCCACTCTGCCCAGGCCAGGGGACATCCCCAGTGTTTGGACTAAGCTGAAGCAGGGCGAGGCCCTGAGCATGCTTCCCTGCACATCCCTGGAGATCAGCAGCAGATGGCATCAGATAAGATAACCTGTGAAACTTCAGATACGATGTTCCGGGTTTGAAGAAAGCAGCATGGCGTTGACAAGCAATTCTCAGAGTTTCCAGACCCTATATGCTAATTTCCATAATTGCCATACATTCCTCACCACCCCTTTAAAAACCTGA